TTTAATTAGATCGGCTAAGTTATCGCGGGTAAATAAATTAGTATTCGCAACCATCAAAAAAATGTAGTCGAACAGCCCTAATCAAAAAATAGATACTCGTAGTATTCAGAAGTAAGTAACCTCGCTTAATAGCGCCGGGAGAGTTGACCAATCAAACTACTTAGTTCACCGCGAAATTCGTAGTTTGATTGGTCAACTCTTCCAGCGCTTTTAAGCGAGGTTACTCACTTCTAAATACTACGAGTACAGAGGTCTACACCGAAAGTCCTGCACATGCGCTAAAACTCTTGGCATTCTTGGCAAATATTTATTGAGCCATATTGGCCTTGGATGAAGCGATGTACTACTTGAAACGGTCCATCAACGACTCGAAAAGAGGCTGAAAAGCGATGGACTTATTACTGGAAATATCTTTTATAAGAGAGGATTCAGAAGTGGATAGAACGTATACCTAGACATATTACCGAAGTTATTCGTTTGAAAGACGGGCACGAGTATAGGGAAGGCCGTTTTGAAGGGGATATACGGCTATATAATTCAAATGAGCGTAGTTATTAAAGAATCATCAATAAAAAATAAAGCTATTTAAGAAATTTGTCAAGATGCCGGAGAATGCTAAGAATGCCAAGAGTTTTAGCGTATGTGCAGGACTTTCGGTGTAGACCTCTATATATATTATTTGATTTTAGAATAACTTTTTTATTTTCTATTAAAATTTTAAGATTTTTTTTTTAAATTATAGAACGAATTATGGGTCTCTAAATAAAGAAAAAAAATTTAAATTTAGTCTTATAATTATTAAAGCGCAAGGAATTCAAATATCGCTTATTAAAGATCGCTTATCTATTTACTCGATAGCTCTAATTAAAAAAAAAATTATAAATTTAATTTATAAACCTTTACTCGTTATTCTATAATATAATATTATAAATATATTATTTCGTAATATATATCGCTAAGATTTTAGATCTATATTAAAAAAAGAATATATCTTAGAGAAAATATACGATTAGAGTATATCACGTAATTATACTATTAACTCGATATTTGTTATAACTTTTAATTAACTTTTAATTAACGTTTTATTAATATTAGAATTTTAATAATATTAAATTATTCGATATTCGAAATAAATAGATAATTATTTCGTAATTTCCTTATTATATATTAAGATTTAAACTAGTTCGAGTATCTCGCTTCGCTTATAATAGCCTATTCATTAACGTCACGTGATTAATTTTTCGATTTTTGGATTTTTCTCGAAATTTAATATATAAGTAAGATATATAGCCCTATAGAGCTGTGGAACTTAAAGAAATTTTCGAAAATTTTTATATATTATCGCTAGCCATTAATTCTCTACTAGTAATATTTTAATATATTACTTTATAGCGTAGTATTAAAATAATAAAAAATCGATATCTCTTTTATATTTTATTAATTATTTATTAATTATTTATTAATAATAAATTTAACTAAATCTATTATAAATAGAAAATCTTATATAACTCTATTCGATATACGTTATAAAGAACGAAAAATTTAAATATATTCGATATATAGTTCTTATTATATAAATCGTATTATTATCGCTAATATTTTATCTATTTTTAATTAATAGTAAATTTATCGAAATGTGAAGTTCTCAGCCATGTTTTCAGTTACTCTCCGCTATAATCTATACGCATATCGACTATATTACTCTATTTCTATAAGATTAAAGATATTCCCTAGAAGAATTTTAGAGATAGAATCAATTATCCTTCTATATTATCGTTGTTCTTATTTTATTCTTTTTAATAGGTTATAAGCCCGAAAGCGGGTAGGATAGTATTAAATACCCTTTATACTTTCTAATAGAATATTAATTAATATTAATATACGGTGATCTTATATCTATAGATATATCTTTATTAATATTACGATAGCCTATTTTTTTAGCTCGTAATCACCGACGAGAGGGCTGTCGTAATTTAATCTTATTATAAAAAATCGAGTATTCTATCGCTATAACTATAAAATCTTATAGTAACAGCTATTAAAACGAGCGTTCTAGTTTTAAATCCTTAAACGAGTAGTATAAGAAGGATACTAATCCCTCTCTAAGAAGGAGATTTATACGTCTATAATAATTACACTTCTACTTTATATAGTCCTATTAGAAACCAGTCTTTATTATCAAATCGTTTTTATTATTTAATATCTTTTATTAGAATACTCTTATTAATATTATTCGAAGATCTTTATATAAGCACTTTCTATTTCTTATATAAGAATTTAAATTTTAAAAATAATATTTAATTAATATTAATAAGACTCTTAAAAATTCTAACGAAGAGTAATAAAGCCTCTATTTTACTCTAATTACTTTATTATTATACGATAGCGATTTTAAGATTAGCGAGAATATACTTAATATCTCGAGTAATATCGAGCTATTTAATCTCTATACGAAGTTATTACTCTCGCTCTTATTTATTTCTTTCGAAGTATCTTTAAACTCGTTATTATCGTTTTCTTTATTCTCTTCTAAAATAGAAGATAACTATCGATTACGATTAGAAAGATTTATTAAAGATTCGCTTATTAATAATTAGAGAGCTAATACTCTTTCCCTTTTTTCTATAAGATTTTTTAAGATTTAATAAAACTAGCGAGGAGTTAGAAGTTAGAGAAGTTTTATTAAATTGTTTATAGGCTATTTAGAGGGGAGTTTCAGGCTGTTATAGGCTGCTTATAGAGGAGTATCGAAATGTGAAGTTCTTAGCTATGTTTCTAGCTACTCTCCGCTATAACCTATACGTATATTGACTATATCACTCTATTTCTATAGGGTTAAAGATATCCCCTAGAAGAATTTTAGAGATAGAATCAATTATCCTTCTACATCACCGTTATTCTCATTTTATTCTTTTTAATAAAATTCTTATATATAGTAGCTTTCGTAAGATAGTATTCGACTTTATTTATCTTATATTATATTTAAGTACGATATAGTATTACTTAATATGAAATATTCTATAAAATATATTATATCTTTTCGACTAGTATCTAATATAGAAGATATAATAGTCTTTTTCTTAATTAAACTTCTATCTCTCTTTATATCTTTAAAAAAAGTTAATTCGAGATAATAAGTAAACTATTCTTTATAGTATTTTACTATATTATAGAGTCTCGATAAAGTATAATATCTTATCTAAATTAGTATATATAAAAGAATAAGATAGAGTTAAGTCTAAAAATCTTAAATTTATATATATAGCTAATTATAAATTTAGAATTACTACGCTTTTTAATTAGATCGACTAAATTATCGCGAATAAATAAATTAATATTCGTAATTATTAAAAAAATGTAGTCGGACAGCTCTAAGTAAAAAATAGATATACATTATTTAATTTTAGAATAACTTTTTTATTTTCTATTAAAATTTTAAGATTTTTTTTTAAATTATAGAACGAAATATAGGTCTTTAAAGAAAGAAAATAATTTTAAATTTAGTCTTATAATTATTAAAGCGTAAGGAATTCAAATATCGCTTACTAAAGATCGCTTATCTATTTACTCGATAGTTCTAATTAAAAAGATAATTATAAATTTAATTTATAGATCTTTACTCGTAGATATATAATAAAATTAAAAATAATACTTATATTTTAATATTACGTCGGACTTATCGAATTTTAAATCTAGTATTATTAGATATCGAGTACTTTCGAATATATACGAATAAGAGTTATTATCTTAGATAGCTTATAATAATATATAAGTAATTTTAACTTTAATTTAATATAGAAAAGAATTATAGAATTAATAATATAATAGATATATCTATAATGTAATTTTCGGCGAGAGGAGTACTAGCCCGAATGCTAATTCTCTAGTTTTTTAATGATTAAGAAAATAGGGGTAACGCCACGAACCCGCGTTGTGGGGGATGTTTTTTAAGTTTCATCCTCCCGCGGCAGCATCCCACTGAAGATCTCCGACTGGCATTGACTTATTCCAAGCCTTATTAGGTATGCGTAGACATTTATTGATGGCTAGCCTTGTTAACAACTATCCCAGTCCAACACCTGCTTTGTTCCTTTTGAGCAATTGAATCTGACGTTCGGCCCTGCTCAGCTTTCACTTTCTCATGCTTGAGCAATCTAGAGCGATTTCGACCTGTGCGCTTCCAACGACCTTAACATGCTCTCTATGGAAGAACTCCGCTAATATGTCTGCTCGCCCTTCCAGTGCCTCTTTCGCTCATTCGTCATGTCAGACTCCTTGTCCTCTGCCTGAAGTATGACAACGATGACAAGTGCTTGTATGAATGCGCCTATCAATGCATCTCTTGTTGACTTGCGTCGTCGTGATTCTCTCAATACGCTGTATCATTTAGACTCTTTCAGCTGCTTCAGCAAGAGACCAGCAGGTTGCTTTGCCTCTGCATAGAAGTCAGATTCAGAACGGATGCGGTAGCAACGAGCCAAACCATGGTAAACCCTACAGAGGATGGCACAGACGAAGCTTCCATTGTTAGTAAAGCTGGAACATACCGAAAGGAGCTCTGCTGAATGCGGGTTTGGCAGAGACCAGTGTCATCCTTGAGATCGCTATTCGAAAATAAATTAGGCACTAGCTCGGGACCCACGACACCTTCGACCCTCTTTCCTCCGAGGCCTCTTGCTAGACCTGAACAGGCGCAAGATGACGCTCAAAAGAGTACACCAGCTTCACTTGACACGCCCCAAATATCCTCGCCTTGGTCAGCCACTGGAGCTGCCTTCGTGTCGCATGGTCTTGGGAAGGCAGGCCCACCAGTCCCTCGTCCTCGGCAGCACAATTTCAGTATACTGCCGCGTCCAGTCTCAACCACCTCACTCTCTGCGCCCCGCTCTCCTCCACTCGTCACAGTGAACTCTCCAACAACCCTTCCAAAGGGTTCCCAAACAGCGAGCGTGCAGCCGTTCTTCCAAACACCGACTGCAAAGTCATTGAAACATGTCAGCATGGGCTCGCAGTCGCCGCGAACAGCTCCAGTCCCCCCCAAGAGAGTTCAACCTCACACAACGGAATCTTTCCTCCAGCTTTCGATGGCAGGAGGTGAAGTTGATTTTATGGACACCCAACCCGCTCTCAAAAGCATTAATGATGACCCCATTGGAGCTATAAAGAGGAATCTCCCACCGCCTGTAAATCGTGCAGAAAAACCTAAAATACCCACGAAACCAGTCTTGGTGGCCGGGAAGATCAATCTTGAGCCGCTCGTTCCAGCAGCTGACGAAAAGGTATCCCCGTTCAGCACACCACCAAGCAGCGACGAGAGCGTAGAACCGGATACTAACAAGCTCGACCGGCATAGAGCTTCGCGGATCGAAGGAAGAGGCACACAGGGAAGACGGGTTGCTCCAGAATTTGCCTTCCAGTCTCTACATGGAACGCAGCGTCCTAGCGATCGAGTGGTAGCTCAGAAGTCCCAAGGTTCCGATGCTCGAAAACTTGGATTTACACAAGGTATTATTTCACACCATGCTATGGCGGATAATCCACCGGGACTTCCGCCTCGCAGGGCGCAAGACCAGCGAAGATCGATGCAAGAACTCGATGTCCCAAACAGTAAACAAGCCAACCTGACGACACCATTTGCGCCAAAATCCGTACCTCGTAATAGCACAACACAATTGCAACGTACACTTACTTCGCCACCAGATTTCTTACCTCCACCCAAGGGAGCCTCGACATTCAAGACTTCTAACATAACACATGCCGAAATATCACATCCCCCACACACAGTTGACCATGAAAAGCAAGTGACATCGTACCTCACAATCGATATCCCAGAAATTCAGGAGTCAGAGACGGCCAGCTATGCCGTGCCAGCGTCGGACTATCCGGAAGCAGCGAACTCAAATAGACGGCACCCATACCTAAAAAGCAGCACACGAGCAATCGAGACGCATTATGATACCAGACTTATTGATGCTTGCGGTCAGTATGTGTGCACAACAGGCCATCTCACGAGGGCCTGGGATTCGACCACTGGAGAACTGATTCTCAGTCTTGGTCATGGCGAGAAGGAAATACGAGTGACAGCTCTGGCTTTCAAACCAGGGACAAATGCCCGTGAAGAGGGCTCTCGTCTCTGGCTGGGAACCAATAATGGAGACATACAAGAAGTCGATATTGCAACACAAAGTTTTATTTATACAAAGTCCGGTGTACATGACAGGCGGGAGATCATAAAGATTTATCGCCACCAGAGCTCCATGTGGACTTTAGATGACGGTGGAAAGCTTTGTGTCTGGCTGGGGGACGAAGCAGGTTTGCCAGACCTCCAGCGCAGCCCCTTCTCTCACAAAGTACCCAAGGGTCATACTTTCTCTATAACCATACAGGACACTTTGTGGATAGCCACGGGGAAATATATCAGGATCTTCCGGCCCAATGCCAGCGAAAGCGCAGCGTTCTCAATAATCCAGGACCCTCTCACTCAACCTGGCGTTGGAACTGTCACTTCTGGCGCAGTCATTGGCGGTCAACTCGACCGCGTCTATTTTGGTCATGCGGACGGCAAAGTCACAATATATTCGACCACCGACTTTACTTGCTTGGGTCTTGTTAGTATTAGTGTCTATAAGATCAGTTCTTTAGTTGGCGCTGGTTTCCATCTTTGGGCTGGCTACAATACAGGCATGCTTTATGTTTACGACACAAGAACACGACCTTGGACTACGAGAAAAGATTGGCCTGCTCATGGTGGCCCGATTCTTAACATATTGGTTGATCGGAGTAGTTTATGGAAGGACGGAGTTCTCCGAGTCGTATCGCTTGGCGCAGACAATGTTGTACGATTTTGGGACGGGACTTTGGAAGACGACTGGCTTGGTAGGCAATGAGCTACAAATTGCGACGTGTACTTGTATGCTGATCTGGTTGCAGTTAACGACATGCAAGACCGTGACGTTGAGTATTGTTCATTTCGGGAGATAACGGCGCTTGTGGTGACTTGGAATGCCGGTGCTTCAACCCCGGCGCACTTTCGCTACGAGGAGAACGAGCCTCAGTTCTTCCGGGATGTCCTTCAAGAGGGTAAGCCGCCTGACTTGTTAGTATTTGGCTTCCAGGAGCTCATAGATCTGGAGGACAAAAAGCTCACTGCAAGTGCGTATGGTCCTTGCCGAGTCACAGCTCGATCTAACAGCTTCTAGAGACCCTATTCAAGGCGAACAGGAAGAAGGATCCTTCGGAGCAGGAACACATGAGCCGGCAGTACAGAGCATGGCGCGACTATCTTGTCAGATGCATTGAGGATGGCATGCCGTCCAATGAGCCGTACCATCTTCTGCATACTGCTAGTATGGTTGGACTTTTTAGTTGTGTTTTCATCAAAGCTTCCCAGCGTCATCAAGTCCGCGACATCAATGCTGCTGAGATCAAACGTGGGATGGGCGGTCTACATGGCAACAAGGTTAGTACAAGCGTAGAAGTTGTAGGAAGATGACTGATGCTTAAGCCGCAGGGTGCCCTTCTCCTACGCTTTATTCTCGACGACAGCTCCCTGTGCTTAGTTAACTGTCATCTTGCTGCAGGCCAGACACAGACTGTCCACCGCAACAACGATCTTACAGCAATACTGGAATCGATGGTACTGCCGCCGATTCATACCTCGACACGCACTGAAACTTTGACTGGGGGCGGAGACGGCTCCATGATCCTCGATAATGAAATTTGCATACTGAATGGGGATTTAAACTACCGAATTGATACCATGGGACGTGACACAGTTGTGAAGGCAGTCAATGCCAGGAACTTCTCGAAGCTGCTAGAGAGAGATCAGCTTCTTGTGTCGCGCAGGAGAAACCCAGGATTTCGAGTACGGGCGTTTAAAGAGTTTCCGATCGCTTTCGCTCCAACGTACAAATATGATGTTGGTTCTGATCGATATGATACAAGCGAGAAGCGTCGAGCACCGGCTTGGTGCGACCGTATCCTCTATCGTGGTGCTGGAAAGATCAAACAATTGGACTACCGACGCCATGAACTACGCGTTTCCGACCATCGCCCAGTAAGCGGGCTCTTCAAGATGCGCATCAAGACAATCTCAGAGAACAAGCGGGCAGAGGTATGGAGGGAGTCAGGGATTAGATTTTCAAAGGCCAAAGAAAAACTCGCGAAAGAAGCCAAGTATGTGCCCCAGGTCTATCGTTCTTCTCGGATTTTACCATTGAAGCTCACTGTATGTAGGGTTGAGTACCTCCGTGATGTTCTTGGAGTTCCACCTGCAGAAGCCATGCGTCTTGTGTGAAAACTTGATATGTGCTATTGTCAGGCTATCCCCTTCAACCGAGCCTACGTGGAATTCCGGGGACGGCCTCCGTCACACATAGCTAAAGACTGATGTGGGAGGATGACGCACGACAATGCACTGTGAAGCGGTGGTCTCTGAAGACAGTCTCTTCTGAAAGCACGGATGATTGTGAATTGAACGTGGCAAAACGTGAGTGGTTGACCATCTATTTACCGATTAAGTCCAGCTAATTGGAGCACAGCTGGAGCAAATGCCAACATAAGCACCACCGAATTATCTCCGCCATCTTTGCTGCGGCCCTTGTGATCATGGTTCGTGAGATAGGAGCAACATTGGTGATGATGGCCCGGGGGTGCATACTCTGTCTGTTGACTAAGCAGCTTCATTGTTGGTCGGACCTTCGTACAAGTCGATATGGATGATAATACCCTCGAGTCTCGGACCTTTGTTGCACGCCTCACTATACTCTATCAAGATGGTAGTATTCCTAAGCCAGCGGGAGTAATCATTTTAACCACAGCCCCAGCTTTGGCGCTTTAGGGCCGCTTGTTGCATGCAATCGCCAAAGAAGCTCATGTAATTCACTTCTATCAAACAGTCTAGGCTCCTCGAAAAGTCTTTCTATCTTCCATTTTCTAAAGATCGTTCTTATTAAGACTTTAATTCTCATACTTTAATAAAAGTAAAGGAATAATATTAAAGATTTATATTACGAGCGTATTCTTAATATACTACTTAGTTCTATAGTCTAATATCTTAATAAAGATATCTTCTATTATATTATAATTCTTCTTTTTATATATATAATTTATTAGTAATTCGAGGAATTTAGCTCTAATAGTATAGAATAGTTTAGAGCGTATAGAGGCGATATGTATTAGTTATAGTACTCGTACTATTTTAATATATTTAAGTAACTCTAATTACTATTAAGCTCTCGAGATTTAATCGATAACTCTTAAAGTTATCGAGATATAAAATAATATTCTCTAAGACTTTAAAATATTAAGAATTATTAATATATCGATATTCTTAATTATTAATAATAATATATATAATATCTCGAGATTACTATTAATAATACTCTCGTAAGAAAATTATCTAAATCGCTTAATTTCGAGATCGAATTCGAGATAATATTAAGAAATATATCTTTAAAGTTCTTTCATAATAATTAAGATTCTAAACTTTAAATTTTTTAATAATATTTAATATTTAATATTAAATATAGTATTTAGATAGTATAGAATAATACTCGAAATTAAAAAGTTATAAAATCGATTTAAGATAGCTCTAAGTAGTCTCGAGTATAAGTAGCGTATCTAGCAAATTTAAAATCTCGAACTAGTTTTATTAAAAGTAGTAGATGAAATACTTAGTTAATTAGATCTAATTGTAGAGAGTATTATGAATATATATATCGCTAAGCCTTAATAAATTTTTCTTATCTCGATAAACCTTTTAATTTAGTTAGATAACATATTTCGATATTTCTATATATTTAAAATACAGCTTAAATTAAATAAGTAGAAAAATAAAATAAAAATTTCTATCTCTCTACCCCCCCTTATTTAAGTAAATAACTATATTTAAATATCGAGTAATAAAGGTAAAGAGGGTATATATATAGGAAAAATTCTATTTATCTTATATAAAAATTTCATTTTTTATTAAAAAGCGGTTTTTTAAAAATTTTATTTTTAGTTTACTTAATATATACTAAAGATTAATTAATTAGAGATTAAAAGTTTATAACGTTTATAATAGAGTAGATAAAGTAAAAAGTCGAAATCTAAAAACGACTATATTAGACTATATCCTCACTATCAAAATTTCACTTTTATTAAAAAGCGGTTTTTTAAAAATTTTATTTCTAGGCTATCTGGTGTATATTAAAAATTAATTAATTTAAAATTAAAGGATATTTATAAGAATAGAATAAATTCGATTAGAAGAAATTATTTATTTTATATATATACGCCTAGCTATAAGATTTCTATAAAGGTTATTTTAGATATTTAATTTTTAGCGATAGTGGCTAATAGTAATATACGCTTTATATATAATATATTAATAGAATAAAATATAAATAAAAGTATTTTAAAAGAGTTTTAAAGATTTAATAGCGATAGTAATAGTAGCGCTAAAGAAATAGCTATTTCGATATAAAATAGTAAGTTTATAGAGTATTTAGCTTAATATAGTTATTTAATAAATAATTTAAATAAATTATCTAAGATATAAAGATTAATTAGAAATAGACTTTTATATAAGTAATAAGATTAAAAGACTTAATCTACTCGAAATTTATTTCCCCTTAAGATGCTAAAATTAATTCTTAATAATAATCTATTTATTTCTTAAGGTATTAAAGTTAACTTCTTCTTAATAATAATCTATCTATCTCTTAAGATATTAAAATTAACTCTTTCTTAATAATAAATATATCGCTAAGATATAAATTTATTTATCTTTTAAGATATTATAATTAACTCTTTTTTAATAATAAATATATCGCTAGAATATAAAAAATAGTTATCTTATAGATAAGATTTTAAATTAATAAATTTTTAAAAGAGTTTAAATTTATTTCTATATAGAGCTTTAGTAAGTCTATTAACTATCTATTTATTAATAAAAATTTATTTAAAATTTATATTATTATTAGTAATTTAATTATATATTTAATAATATTAAATATTAATATACTTAATATAATTATAATATTAAAAAAAATTTATTAAAGCGATTATATTTTAATTATTATCGAAAATAATAATTATTTAAAGCGATTTATTAAAATAATTTTAATTAAATAATTTTTAAAATTAAATAGCTTTTTTTATAATCTAAATTTAATTAATATATTTAACTTTATAAATAAATAATATAATAATAACTTATTACTTAAAAGATTAATTAATTATTTTACTTTTTAAATTATAAATATAATTTAAAATTAATTTATAAATATTATAATTATTAGTTTAATTAAAATTAATATAATTAATTAAATTTTAAAGCGAATCTTTATAAATAAAGTATTAATAAATAATTACTCTAAAATGTTAAAAAATATATTTAATAATTATATAATAGATTTTAATAAAATTTAAAAAATATTATAAGATTATTAATATAGCGAATATAATATTAAACTTTATATCTAATATAGCATATATAAAAAATTTAATAATTAATTAATAAATTTTTAATAATTTAATAAATATTATATAATTATTCTCGATAAAGAATAATTATATATTAATTTTTATAAAAATAAATTATAATTTAAACTCTTATATTTTATAATATTTAAAAAATTATTTAATATAAATTAATTAATTTAAATATAATATTTAATTAATATAATTATAAATTATAATTATATTTAAATAATAATTATAAAAATTTAAATTATTTATTTTAAACTTAATATTAAATATATTCTTAATTTATTAAATATTAAATTAAAAAGAGTTAATAATAAAAATATTATTTATATAAAAAATAATAATAATATTAATATCGAGATTAATAAATATATTATAATTAATATTAATAGAGATAAAATTAATTTCTTAAATATAATTAATAAAAATATTATATTATATATATAAGAATTACTTTAAATCATAGTCTTATTAAACTTATAAATTTATTAAGAATACTTTTTTAAAATAAAATTAATAAACTATTTTATATAGATTTTCTCTTTAACGTTTTTATAGAGAAAAATAATTTTAATATTTATTTATTCTAAATTCTAATCTTTAATAATAATTAAAATAAAAATAATTTTATAAAATATAGATTTAATTATTAAAGCGAAGATTTTATTATAATCTAAATCTTTATATTATTTAAAATTATATATTATTTAATAAGTTTTATAGCGAGTAATTTTATTATTAAATTTATATTTTAAAATATAAATTTATCTATTATAAAGTATAATATATTTATAAAATAGATTAATAAAAGTTTAAATATTATTCTCTTTTAGCGATTTAAATTTTTTAATTATATTATCTTTTTATTATTTATAAAAAGAATTATTTATTATAATCTCTTTATAAGTCTTTAATTTATATAATTTTATATTTATAATTTAAATAATTATAATATAAAGTATAAGAGAATTTAAAAAGAGATTTTAAGAAATTAAGTAAGAATAATTAGAATATAAAGATATATTATCTTATATTATCGAGGTAGATTAAGATATAATAATAAGAATATTAAAGTTAAAAAAAGTTATTATAAACTTTAAAGATCTTAAAATAAATCTAAATAACTAAATAAATTTATTTAAATTTATTATATTTATAGAAAAAAAAAATTTAATTAAAAGAAATATTATAGATCTAGATATATTTCTTTTTATAGTTAAATTATTTAATAATTAGAGAGATATTAAATCGAGTAAAAATTCGTTCTTTTCTCTATTTTATATAATTTTTAATAAATATATAATATTATTATCTAATAATAGTATTTAATAAATATAATTATTATTATAATCTATAAGACTATCTTTTTAAATATAATATTATTCTTTCTTTTATTTAATAATTAATCTTCTTATTATAGCGAAGCTTTTAATTTTAATATATCTAATATATATTAAATAAGACTTATATCTAATATAAATCTTATATAAAATAAATTTATAACTTATAATAAGATTATAATTATAAAAATAATTTATTACTATTATAAGCTTTAATTAAAACTTTTAATTAATATTAATATTCTCTATAATAATATTAATAATACTAAAAAGAGTTTAATTAAATTATTTAATAATTTTATTTTATTTAAAATTCTCTAATTAAATTAACTTTTAAATAATATTATAATTAATATAATAAATATCGAAATTATAATTTTTATACTTACTCTTATAATCGCTTTATAAATATCTAATAATATAATTATTATATTTATTATAAAGCTAAAAACGCTTAAAAGCGATAAAGATATTACTCTTTTAT